GGCAAAAGGAGAAACCCAGGTACCTTCCTGCTGCAGCAGGGGGACGGCTGAGGGGGCCATGACAGGACCCTAAGGGGCCCTTGGCCTGTGGGGGACCCCACCCCAATATTTAGCATTAATGCAACAGGCCCCTGTAGCTGGAGTGCAGGGGGCAAGGAGTCGGAGTCGGTAGGGGGCGCTCTCCCCTGGCAGTCAGGGCTGGCCCCTGTGAGATGCTAGGGGGCGCTGTGCTGCAGGGAGCGGGGCCAGGGGTTCAGCAGGGGATGCTGGGCTTCAGGGAGTGGGGCAGGGGGCGCTGGGCTGTGGGGAGCAGGGCTGTATGGGGTGCTAGGGAAGAGGGAGTGGGGTGGGGGCTTGGCAAGGGGCACTGGGGTGGGGGGTTTTGCAGGGGGAGAGAGGGCACTGGGCAGGGGATGCTGGGGCAGAGGGTACCGGAGCAGGGGGTGTTGTGAACTCACCCCAACCCTCCCCATAGAGTGCCGGGGGGGACTCAGCAGGGGGTGCTGGAGCAGGGGGCCATGGGGTGGGGTGCTAGGCATGGGGCGCCGGGTGGGAGCCTGGGCACGGGGTGGGGTACCAGAGTAGGGGGCGCGGTGGGCTCACCCTATCTCTCCCCAAGGGGCACAGGGGCGGGGGGGGCTGGGTAGGGGGCACCAGGCAGGGCGCGGGGGGCTCACCCCGTCTCTCCCCAGGGGGCTCTTTCCATGTCGGCGCGCCTGGCCCTGGTGGACTGGCTGGACGAAGGCTTCTCCAGCATCATCGAGCTGGCGGCGGTGAGCGAGCCGCGCCGGGACCCTGCCCGCTACCGGCCGGGCCAAGAGGTGGCGGCCCGGTGCCCCCTCTTCAAGGGGCTGAACCGCGCCCGCATCCTGGCCCTCAGCCGTGAGTGAGCGAGCGCCCCCCTGCTCCGACTACCCCCCTTGTCCGAACACACCCCTGTCCGTCCGTCCCCCCCACACCTCTCCATCTGTCCCTCCCTCCATCCATCCCCCTACACCTCTCCGTCCATCCCCCTGTACCCCTTGTCCGACCCCCCCACTTCTCCGTCCCTCCCTCCTGCCATCCATCTCCCCAAACCCGCTGTTCATCCCCCCCACACCTCTCTGTCTGTCCCTCCCTCCATCCGTCCTCCCAAACCCCTGTCCGTCCCCACAACACCTCTCCGTCCCTCCGTCCCTCCATCCCTCCCCCCATACCCTCCGTCCATCCCTCCATCCTCTCTTCTCTCCGCAGGGGACAGGCAGGAGTTGAAATGGATCCAAGTCCGGGCTGGGGGCTGTCCCGGGAGCAGCTGGGGGGGCAGGACGCTGCAGGGCCCCCCCTACCACCAAGTGGCGACATGGAGACGGGACAGAGTGCCCCCTGAGAGAAGGAAACACAGCACAGGTGGGTGCTTCTCCCCGTGCCGGACGCCTGGGTCCCATTCCTCATCCTGGTCTCCAGCCCCCTAGGGGTGAGAGCCCTGCACTGCTTTCCCGGACGCCTGGGTCCCATTCCTCATCCTTGTCTCCAGCCCCCTAGGGTGAGCGCTGCACTGCCGTTCCGGATGCCTGGGTCCCATTCCCCTAGAGACCAAGAAGTCTCATTCAGTGACTGTTTCTTGTCTCATTCCAGGAGGCAACGCCGATGACGTCACCACCTCCGTGCTCGACCCTGAAGGGACGCAGGTGTCCGAGGACGAGGGCCGGGCGACCCCCCAGAGCACCTCATCCTCGGAAACCTGGCATTCCTCCTCCCCCGACTGCCCCCACGTGGACAGCTCTGGCTGTGGGGTTCCCTGCTCCCCTGGCCCTGCGGACCCAGGCATCCGGGCGGGGCCGACCGAGCCCTGCGCCAGGCCGGAATGCGAGAGGATGCGACAGGAGCTGGAGGCGCTGAGGGACCGATACGCCAAGCTGGAGGCTCAGAACACTGTGCTGTCCCAGAGACTCGGTGAGCCCGGACGCCTGGGTCCTCGGGGGTCAGAGCAGGGGGGCGGGGCTGGGAGCCTGGACATCTGGGTCCTCTGAGAGGAGAGTCAGGTCTGGTGGGTCAGAGCAGGGGGGTGGGGTTGGGAGCCCGGATGCCTGGGTCCTCTGGGAGGGGAGTGAGTGGGGTCTGGTGGGTCAGAGCAGGGGGCCGAGGTTGGGAACCTGGACGCCTGGGTTCTCTGGCGCGTGGGAAGTGGCAAGTGGTCACTCCTGTCTCCGTTCCCTGCAGGGGGCGACGTGGAGCTGCCCAGGGAGGTGGACGGCAGTTCCGTGCGGCCGGAGCCCGGGCTCTATCAGGACCCTGCACTACCTCAGAAACATGGGGTGAGCTGGGGGGCGGGGAGTGGGTCGGGGGATAGTGGGAGGCCTGGGGTCCCTCTTATAACAATGTCTCCTCCCCCTCCTCCTTCCATCCCCCTCCTGTCCCCTGCCTGCTCCCCCTACTGCCCCTCCTCTCTCCACGCCCCCTACTGCCCCCACCCCACTTTCCTCTGTGCCCCCCTCCCCGCCCCCCAGATGCAGGAGCTGGTGCCAGGAGGGGGCGTGTTCCTCTACCCCGCCCAGCTGGCCCTGGCCCGCTCCAGCGCCCGCAGCCAGACAGCCCTGGCCCGGCTCCTGCTCGACGTCTTCTTCTCCCGCCAGGAGCAGGCACGGAGCAACCTGTCCGGGGAGAACGGGCTGCGCCGCCTCAGCCCCCCCGTCGTCAGCGCCATCGTGGGTGAGTCCGGGGGGGGTCAGGCGATGGTATGGCCCTGGGGGGCGGGGACAGGCAATAGTATGGACTAGGAGGGGCAATGATGGTATGGCCCGGGAGGGCGGGGCCAGGCAGTAGTACGGACTGAGAGGGGCAATGATGGTATGGCCCGAGGGGGCGGGGACAGGTAGTAGTATGGACTGGGAGGGGCAATGATGGTACGGCCCGGGGTGGGGGGGCAGGAAGTACTGCGGACGGGGCAGGGTCCTGATGATATGGCCCAGGGATCAGGGTCAGGCAATGGTATGGCCCCAGTGGGTGGGGTCAAGCAGTAGTATGGCCTGGGGGGGGCAATGATGGTATGGCCTAGGGCAGGATGATGGTATGGCCCAGCAGTGTGTTTCAGACAATGGTATGGCCTCCGTGGGGGAGGTCGCGGTGATGGTACGGCTCAGGTTGGGCTAGGCAGTGATACTGCCTGGAGGGTTAATGATGGCACAGCCCAGGGAGTGCAAGGCGATGGTATGGCCTGTGGGCGTTAATGGTGGTATGGCCTGGGTTGGGGGTGAGGTAATGGTGCAGCCCAGGAGGGCAAGGCAATAATTTGGCCCGGGGCGGGGGCAGTTATAATGGACTGGTCTATCGTAAAGGTATTCCATGGGGGGGATCCTGCTGCCATTCACCCCTCTTTTCTCTCCCCCCGCAGCCTACGCCGTGGGTCAGTCCCAGTTCCAGCCCAGCAGCGCTGCTGTCATCAAGAACTCGCTGCGCAACAAGCTGGGCTGCCTGAGAGCCCCGTCCCGCCAGCAGGGGGCCACCAGGGGGCGTCCCGCGGCCTGAGAGTCCCATCCCGCCAGCAGGGGGCCACCA